GACACAATATATATATATATATATATATATATATATATATATACAGTATATATGCTGCACAAAGTCAACTTCAAAGTGAAATATGTATTAGCATGCAAAGAATTATCTCCCTCTATTCCCACTGTTTTTGCAACTTGGTCTGAAAGTCAAAATTCATTTTCACTTTTGAAGTCACTTGAAGAGATTAGAAAACAATGAAGTATCACAATTATTCATCAGAGTTTCATAATGACAGTTCAGAACTCCAAGAAGATGCAAAGGAGTTTAATAGCATGTTTCACGCCTGTCGTCCATCATCAAAACCGAACATGATTTGCTCACTGGTGTGTTTGTGATGTTTGGTAAATGATGTGTGAACTGATGAGTGTGTCCCAAACCTCTGAGCTGCGAAGAGCCCTTTGGCACATGACAACATTGGGCTTGTGTGACCTGTGGGGCGTGTAGTCCATCCTGTAGCTGCTGTTCGCCGTCTCGCAGTCCCGAGTGAACTGTCTCACCACACACACATATAAGAAAGACAGAAACACTCAGCAAACAAATCCCACACTCAGCAGAGCTTGCGGCCCCTTATTGATCGGAGATGTACTCTCTCAGGTCTGTTTCTGTCTAGGGGACTGCAGAATGACTTGCATCAATTCCATTTGTCTGCCTCCAGTCTGTGCTGACCAAGCTGATCAGCAGCGCTAATCACTTTTGCATAGATCTGAGCACTGTCAGAGGAACTGCACCCCTTTCAGGATTTAAACAAGTACTTAAGTAGTGTGTTAATTACTCAAAACAAGAGCCATTAGGAATTGTGCCTATATAATAATCACCAATATTAGAAGCTAAAAACACATTTTTAATGCAATATTGAAATACATGAGCAACTTGGAATTCAATATTGTTGGATATGAATGCCCTAGAAACAAAATTCTTGGTCTCAATTTTTTTTTTTCAATTATTTGAACTATTCTGATTTTTATTTTATTTATTTTTTAACTCGGCCAGTGGTTTTCATCAGATCTTCACCAAACCATTTACATGCAAATGCAAGGACTTGATGATGTGTATGCCAAATAGGAAGTGAGGCTCCATCTTTGCAACGCTTTTGGCTATTAAGGTGACTCTTTTTTAGGAAATATTGCCACTATGGCCCAAAGATATACGAGTATTTTGGGTATATTTACTATTAATAAATGTATCACAAGTCACCAGTTTTTAGTGCATAAGATCACAGCAATTAACAAATGACAACAATCCAGACAAATCCCATTGGACAAAACCACCTTACTTTTTCCCCCTTCTCTCTCATTCAGGAAGCCTTTTCACTGAGATATTTACAGAATGAAAGACTTTAAATGGTTTGGCCAAAGGCAAAATTCCTACACAATGTTCCTGGGTCTGCAATATTGAATTTCATAAAAAAAAATTAAAACAAAATCAGTACTAGTTGTACTATTTCTGCCTTTTAAGTATAAAATTGTGGCAGAAACAGTAAAAGCAGTGCATAATGATATTTAGCTTAAGTTAGTATCAGTTTAGAATACTAATCCAAATGTGTTCATTTTAAAAAGACAAAATTATTTTAAAAAAAGTAAAGATTCTGAAAGCATTGAAGGAGAAACCATAAGTTTATATAGCTTTACAGTAGTAACAATAAGTAGCCTATGATATTTTATTATATGATATTATTAATAAACATGATGGTTTCATTATAAATATGGTGATTATCTCTAAAGTGGACACCCAACTTAATATATGATATTTCCCATCTGAATCTAACCATGGCATGCCATGTCTAATGGAAAAGTCGGCCAGCTATTTATTGCCATGTTTCAAATCTTGTGCCATCTAGTGGTTATAAAGACAAATGCGCCTTTAACCTCGTTGTATTCTACTGTCTTAAATTAATAGTCATTGGTTAGACTATATTCATTTAGACTTTATTATTAAGCGAAGCAGTCTTTGCTGCAATATCCACAACATTATCAAAAAAGAAGATAGCACGGTTTATCTGTCGAGTTGCGCGTGAATTTTGTTTCAAAAACAAACAGTCATTTGTGTAATAAAAGCAACTTTTGTTATGTCGAAATCAAGGTAGAAGTAAGTCGTGATAACGATAAAACTACTTTTATCCCGAAATCACGAAAAATTACGATAAGTAGGCCTAGTAATAACGCTAAAACAACTTATGTCGAAATCACAAGCCTAGAAATACACACTACTCAATTTTTTATGTGAATTCAAAATGACATTTACACTGATACAGTAATACATATACCTACATGTAATCTCTCCTCCGCCCAGTTACCAATGAGTACTTTGTTGGTGCTGTATTTACCAGGCTGACTCATCCTTAAAGCAGCAGAGCAGTTGAAGCAGGTGATCGTCTAGAGTTCTGTTGCCATGGACACGCCAAACACGAGGGGCCAATTCCAAACGGAAGTGAGCCTCCCTATGCCTTGTTGCAAATACATAATAATAATTTTAATATTAATAATAATTATTATTATTATTCAAATGTTGTCTAATTGTTGTCTAAATGCTGGTGAAGTGGCTCTCAGCTCTAGAGATGAAGTTCTGAAGTAGACTACCTTCATACGTACTTAAGTATGTGTAGTAGTCGAAACTGCTGAGTGCATTCACAAAAGACACGCAGAACATGCAGATGTCAGATTTAAACAGCAGCCTCTACCGTCCAGTATGTTCTCACCATGATGAATGGCATGTATTAAAGGGGTCCTATTATGCTTTTTTTACTTTTTCAACTTTAGTTAGTCTGTAATGTTGCTGTTTGAGCATAAAAAAGATATGCGAAGTTACAAAGCTCAAAGTCCAATTCAAAAGGAGATATTTTATTTAACAGAAATCACTTTTCAAAAACTACAACGACCGACTCGTTTGGACTACAACGCATATTTTCCGGGATTTGTGATATCACAAATATCGATGAATGGGATGAGACCTGGTTGAGCTGCACTAGAGAAGGCTACGAGTGTTATCACTATGTCAGAGACACGCTAGCTTTCCCAAGACAGATGAACTTAGAGTGGTTACAATCATCCAGGTTTAAATCACGCTCAAATTGATTTGATTTTGATGCAATATTTAGGCGGCTATGGTAAGGGGCGTGACATTTACCGACCAGGCGCCGAGTGCTACCAATCACAACACACACTGACCCAGCTAACCAATCACAGCACATTTCGTATTTCAGAAGGCGGGCCTTCATTTGATACAGGAACTATTCCAGCCGTTCATGCCAGACTGGGGAGAGAGGTGTTGTAATAATGTAAAATATGTGAAAAATAATGTGTTTTTCGAACAACCTAGTATGAGAGACTGTTCTAGTACACCCCCAAAACAAAATCAAGACTTTGTAAACGAGCATAATAGGACCCCTTTAAGATAGGCTAATAACACTTTTCATCATTTTACAATGCAATCACTTTAAGTAAAACTTACCAAGAGAACTTCAATTTCAGTTGTTGTGGCGAGTGGATTTGAGATGCTCCAGTTCTCTTTGTCACCTCGGTTAATCAACAGAGCGCTGACAGGCTTTACAGAACATCACTTTTCCATCCTCATTAAAATCATTAGCATATTATTTTGCTCCCACTAGATGCCGCGATCGAAGAATCAGAGTTGTATTGCAGGGAGACATGTGGAAATATAAATTAATGATGCATGGTTCTGCTCTAAGCATGTATGTTACAAGTTTGTGAAAATACTACCAGTGGCAGGTAAACGTAAAGCAGATTATGATTCACCAATACCAAAACAACGTGTCTACACCAGATGCGAGCGGTGCGACGTGACAAATGCAAACAGAACCCAGTGATGTTCTCAATGGGTGCGGCGCGACGCGACACGACAAATCCATGACAGTGATGCCCGTTCTATTTATGACGAACTCCAGCGCTCTGACACAAAGGAAAGGACAACTGGATTTGCAATGTTCACTTTGTCGCGTCCAGTGTGGTGAAAAGACAAGAAAATATATAGGCATATCTCACCCTCAGATTCACCAGTACAATGTGGGTAATGAAGCCGAACAAGTTAAGACGGCAAGTAGGCTAGTTTAGTACTATGTTAATCACAATATTTCAAATCATATATAATTTTGCAATCAAGGTCATGTCTGAGAGGGTGACACTGAAGACTGGAGTAATGATGCTGCAAATTCAGCTTTGATCACAGGAATACAGTATATGTTCAAACATTCAAATAGATATTTTAAGTTGACACATTTCACAGGGAGTACGTTTACATGGACAACAATAATCCGATTTTAACACGATTAAGAATCTACCATGTAAACAGAGATTTTTGAGTACCTTAAGTCCAGCTAAAGTCATATTCGAAGTAAATAGAAATCAAATTAAGACATGTGGAGTATTCCTGTTTTAGTCGCATTACTGAAGTGCAGTATAGACATGTAAACACCCTAATCACATTATTAGCATTGTGTAGGACTTTTCGCCGCATTTTGCGACAGGATACTCACACGGCAGTGGTCAACCGTTTGACGGCAAATAAAAGAGCTTCAACACCACCGTCGTCTATATGCACGTACAAATAATTAACTGCACTTGAAGCTTTCCTAACATTAAAAATGAAACACCCAAAACTTTGTGATGGCATCATCACGAAGAGGAACTATATGTTTATACGTGACATTCCGGAGGGGACATCACGTGGGGGCGTAATGACGGTGTGCCATTAATCGAACTATGTACTATAATAACATGTAAAACGGGAACATGAAAGGAATATTCTAAAAATATTGGCTTATTTAGAATAAGGTAAATAATTAATCCTGAAAATATTTTTCTGTACAAAAGGGGGGCCCGGCCAAAAAAGTTTGGGAACCACTGCCCTAATCATCCGCGGTCAGTTTTATTTTAAACATTCCACGCGTTAAAGCAGGAGAGTTCTGTTGAAAATACACCTGCTGGCGCTGTAGATTGCATTAGTGCCCGTCCACTTTTTCATCGGTGCTTGTTCCGGAAGTATTTCTCCCATAGGGATTTTTTGCTACAGAGTCATAAGCATGAACTATAGCTGCATCCAAATTCGAATACTTCCCTACTATATAGCATGTGAAAACAGTACGCCAAACGAGCAGTATGTCTGAATTTATTGTATTTGGGAAATAAATAAATTATTTTATTTCGGAAAGTAGCCGGATGACCTATTACTTACACTGGCCCTGTGTACGAAATCATCCCCTATACTATTAAGTAGGGCACTATTTGAGAGGACAGCCATTTGTATTGGTGTCCGAAACCTTGGACATTATCGAATGCACTCATTCAATCCCACAATGCACCGCAATAACGAGTGTACAACTGGTGTATGCCAAAGAACTATGATGTATGCCAAAGGTATAAATTACTTTTAAATTGATTATTAAATTGAGGTTTATTCACCTTTTTTTTCCCCGTACGAGCGGGCAGAGCCATTTGTAAATTTTATGTGTCTGGCTTCCGGTGTCATCCGCTTTATTTTAACTGAATACAAAACAGCTCGTTTTGCCGCTTGATATTGCAAATTGGTGTGTCTTACGATATTATTGTAATGTATTCTTTACTATGAACACACTGGTTTGTTACTTTCAACACTTTGTTATTCTTCTCATTATTTTCCTATAGCGGCTAATGAACCAGAAGTCTCGCACTTTCACAGAAAACGGCTTACTTATGCATTGAAAAATAAAGGTGCTTTCACGTTATATCGTAATTACCGTGGTTACGAGATACCAACGTGTAAAAAGCATTCACGTCCTCATAGAACTTGTAATTACAACTTGTGAACTGGGAGTTTTCTGAAAGCTACAACTTGTACCACCTGACCACCTCAAATTCATTAGGCGCTGTTTGGGCATTGATAGTGCGATAGTTCCGAGTCCGAGGGTGTGAACAGCTCCAAGTAGAACGTAACGTGTTGTCATCTCGAAATTGCAGTAAATATGACATGGTGTGAATGCAGCAAAAGGTGGATACATAATTTCCATAACAGAGTTCAAGATAAATCCTTTCATCTTACTACTGGAGCTACCAGATTCAAATGGTTATTAAACAGCAAGCACAAATGTGGCAGCCCTTCCAGTGCACTCAGTGTCTGAATTCACTAACTCGTTTTCATTCCCTCCTTCAAGTGAACTGTATTAGTGGACTAATGTTGGGAATAGTGGATACGGGTATAGGGGGCAATTTCGGATGAAGTGTGCATTGGATTGACACTTTACTATCCCATGAGGCCATGGGAGAAGACTTATGAATGGCAGTGAAGCAACGCAACTTACACTGGTAGGTCATGTGACAGTAACTAAATGGCGAATGTAGTATGTCCGAATTTCATTCATACAAGTACTCACATTCATACTATATAAAATATACTTTTTAACGGTTGTGAAGTTCAAACTCAAATGTAGTACCTACATATATAAAAATATTCATTTAAAGCTGTTGGTTGTTTCTATATAAACTATGTATTTTTAGTTAATTGCCAAAATATTCATATATACAAAAATATTTTTGAGAGCGTAGGGAGACCGAATCCATTACAACAATGGTGGCGTTTCACAGGAGTGGGCAGAGCTAAAGATCCTTCTGGCGTGAAGGATTTTCTGTACAGCATAATGGGTAATGTAGTTTTTAACCACAAATTCCACTATAAAACTTGATTATTTTAAAAATAAGTCGAATTAATGCGAACAGATTGGTTTAACAAAAGCATTAATAATCAATTAACAACATTGGAGCACACAGCAGGCCTGTCTTTAAAGATTTGTCAATTATTGTTAAAAATCCATTTCTCTATGGAGAAAACAAATGGAGTTTTTTATTCCGTAACCCAACTATTACACTGTGAGAGCAGCTGCAGCGAAAGAAGGTTCATCAGATTCCTTTAAACGCACCATGCAAATGCTGACTAACACTCTGAATGATGAAAATTAGCTTCACTTGTAGCACCAAAGGAAAGACTGCAGTCTCCTACAAATGAGGCTGTACAAGGGACGTGGGATGTGGGAGGAATTTTAAGTGTCACACACTGGAATATCATTCATGATTCAATGGATAAATTGAGCATTGTTTGTCCATTACAAACACAGTTTAACACATCAATCAAAAACGATTCAAATACTCTTTTTTTTTGATAAATCTAATGGGACTTTCTTGCTATAATTCACAGAATATTGCTAAATGACAATGATTCTTTAAGGAGAAAATCGGTACAGAGTGTACTTTTTGTTTAGCAGCCTTTGTTCCAGAAGTATTTTTTCTATTCTTTTTTCCCATAGGTATTTTATATTCATTTTTAAAAGTTATAAGCCATGAACCAAACCAACCAGCTATGAGGTGAATCACAAAATTACAAACTTAGATTTTTGATTGAAGCAAAAAAAAAGTATTTTAAAATTGTACAAAAAAAGAACTACAATCCCATGATGCATTGTGTATGATAGAATCTAACTATAATCTATAAAACTATTGATTTAAAGATATTGATTATATATACAGAAATAATATGATTTACATTTATTGCGTAATATGCATATTAAGCACAGAAATATTTAAAACAATTGTCATTCTCTGGTTGATTAATATTTTATAGGTATTGGGTCACAAGTTGAAATGATGTGTACTTATGCCATCGATTAAAGCTAGGCTAGGCATTTTCTGTGCTGCTAGTGCCTTATACCGGAACTGCAAAAAGAAAGCATGTTTTCAAACAACCTTGGCAAAAGCCCCTTTGGCATGCAGCACCTCCCCCATCTCAAACATCATAAACATTATAGATTATGGATTTATAAAATGGCAGGTAAAAGCAGGCTAATTTCAATAAAATGTTCAACATATTAGGAATACTTTTAACTTAAAGTTTAGATTATCTGTTGAGAAGAAACTAAGTTAATTTTATCAATTGAAATTCAAACATTCTATCAAATTCCTCCATTTTGTAAAATCATCGCTCTTGTTTTACCTGTTTTTTTGGAGCACTTTAATTATTGGTTGCCATCAGGCTGTGAAAAGACTTTCAACCAGTATAACAGAAAATGTTTATGGAAAAACATTGCCTACCCTAGCTTTAACAACCTCGTAACTCTTCTTTAACAGTTTGTTACTTTTTTACAGTTCTCTATGGAGAAAACAAATGGGAAAGTGTTTTTGTTAATTCCCATTTCTCACAAAAAAAGAAAGAAAAGAAAAACTCTTACAGGCTATATTCCATGTCATTCTGACAAATCTTTTGACTTCTCAGTCAGAGAGTCCTTACATATCTTACAATGCTGTCCATACCCTTTCGAGAAGATTGAAATGTCAACCAGCCCTGGTTGAAGAAACTGATGATCCCGTGGAAGCCATCAGATAGATGCTCCCACGTGACTTCCACTCCTGCATCCTTCAGTCGCTTACAGAACAAAATGCCATCATCCCTCAGCACATCAAACTCACAGGTCAAGACGAAGGTGGGCGGCGCGAGGTGGAGAACATCATCCTCAGCTAATAAAGGGGAGATCTCTGGATCCAGCCCCTGTTTGATGATGTGATAGACATGACCATCATGGCTTGGGATAACCTGCGGACTTCTTGCTCCTTTTCTAAACTGAGGTGAAAGATTATCTGGATCCAGCCATTTCTTATAGCGACGTTTTAACTCGACAGGAACATGCTTGCCTTCCAGAATCTGCTGGCTAACAGAAGTATTCCCGTTGAGGTACTGTAGGAAATAGAATACCGCTCGGCCTCTGAACAATATGGGCACAGAGTGGTTCTGCTGGTATGAGGGCAGGTGGAAATCTGCCATCTGCAGTGCCGGGTAGATGAGAACCTGGGCACAGGGAGATGGCAGATGACAATCCTGTGTCTTTGACAGCCTCTGGCAGAGAGCGGCTGCCAGGTTCGCCCCTGCGCTGTCCCCACCAACTGCCAACCTGCGTGGGTCCACCCCGAAATCAGTTGCCGCTATTGACAGGAAATGGCGAGTCACGACCTCACAGTCGTCCAGGTGGGCAGGGTACCTGTGCTCGGGGGCCAGACGGTAACTAAACATGGCAAACAGAGAAGGAAAACAAGAGGAAAAATTCAACCAGCCAAAATTTAACTTGATTTATACATAAAATGAGTATGCCAAAAGTCAGCTAACCCAACAGACACAACGATGGTGTCACTCTCCAGTGATATATACTGACACACTTCATTGTAATCATCTGTGAAAGAACAAAAAATGAAAACATTTTAAATTACCAACACAAAAGTATTGCACTGTTTCTTTGAGTATATATTACCAATGCAGCCAAACATCCATCCACCACCATGAAAGTACACCAGGCCCCTTTTTTTCTCTCCCGAGGCAGCTGTAGGCTCATACACCCTCACTGGAACTCCACTGAAGCTCAAGTCCTTAATACGAAGCCCGGAGGGCACTGTTTTTTTGCGGGCCATGATACAGCATCTGCTCCATCGTATAAAATTAATCTGATGGCACAGCCCCAATCGCCCCAGAATTTGTCCCTAAAGGTGGTTTCAATACAAAAGAGACTTGTTAACAATGATTGGCCAATTCATAATACTCACCATGCCATTAAATGTGCCACTCAGTGGGTAAAGAAGTCCGCTCGGCTATTTGAATTCTGTACTCATATTCTGAGATAAGAAGAACGGCTCATATCTCTTTATCATACCCTTGAGAGAATATCAAGCTAGTGGCTACAGAAAAACACTCTATTGAACTCGCTATACTCAGTTTTAATAAATTATACATCACTGAAGAGTTATTCAATTACTGAGGTGGACTTTGTATTGAGCATGGTTATATTATTAAACAATTTGTTGTGCCAAAACAGAATGACAGTACAATTTCCAGAGGTGGACAAAGTACACAAATCAATTACTTGAGTAAAAGTACAGATACTGCTGATCAAATATTATTCCATTACAAGTGAAAGTTGTAAAGATTTTTACTTAAATAAAAGTACAGAAGTACTTGCTTTTAAAAGTACTCAAGTATCAAAAGTAAAATGTATTTTTTATGTCAACGGACTGTTTTATTATGGTTCTATTATTGTTGTATGTAATACTTGCTATACCTTATGCCTCTGAAGCTACAATACATTACACCTACTGAATACACTGACTAACTTGTAGTATCTTCGGAATAAAGAGCTTTTAGAATGTTAAAAACCTATAGAAGTGAAACAAGCGAGTTCACAAAAAATTTAATTAATTTAACACCCCTACCCACCAGCAGGATGGTAGTGATCTCACACAGCTCTGGCAGTTTCCAGAAAAAATAATACTCAAGTAAAGTACAGATACTCAAGTGTGTACTTAAGTACAATACTCAAGTGTGTACTTCGTTACTGTCCACCTCTGACAATTTCACTGGATATTCTCATTTTCAGGGGATAATGTGGAAACCATTTGAAATATTAAACATATAGGGCTAAACGTTACTCTTTTATTAGTCTTAAGTAGAAATGAAAATTTAACAGGAAATCAATCAATATGATTGGATTTGCCAGTGAACACAACACAAAATGCATGAACACTCACCACAATGCTTATCCCCACATACACACAATGAATCACGCGTAGTTTCCCAGGACTAGCAACTCCAGAAGGGATATTTAAATTTCTCAGCTCTAAGTACACTGGGACAACTACCAATAAACAAAAAGCAGCAAAAAAAGCTGCAAATACAAAGAGCAGAATTGCAATTCCAGTATGCATGGCTGCTTCAACGTGCTGCATGCACAGCAAAAAGTGTTCAAAATACATGCTCCCTTCCCTTTTATAGTGCATGTACAAGGTCAAGTAGTGCCAGGGTTGCCAAGTCTACGAGTTTTCACACAAAACTAGATCAAGTTGATTTTTCCCCACCAGAAAATTAGATTTTAATGTATTTTTTAATCAACCAACAGCCAATTTTCTGCAAAGTAAAACAGATTTTTATATAGACTAAAAGTGTTACAATTGCAATACAGTTCAAATTTCACAAAATAGTGCCATCAGAAACAAGATAACTATGGGTAACAGCCCTTGTAAAAGCATATTGCACTGCACACATTTATACAATAAGTAAATGAAAAGTCTGACCAGAGTGCAAATTAAGTCTTCCAACCCTGACTAATGCCCACTATGTTCTAACTGACCAGATAACACAGAAGCTAATTAGTAATATCAACAATGCACATAAAAATATGCTGGCTGAATGTTTACATAAGAGATAATTGATGGTGGCACAGCTTTAGAGAAGACAAAACACTGCATATTCATCAACTGTAAAATCAGTTCCTTTAATCCTATTACTATGCAAATGCACATGATAAAACTATCTTCCATGAAAGGCAATGTTTGCGCTATGGCCACCACTGAGAATACATCAGATTTATTTAGTGAACTTTCTATGTTGATCTGTAGATGGCAGTGACACTCTATAACAGAAAAGAGAAAGCCTTTTTGTTCAGCTTCATCATGCTGTTATATTTCTACAATAAAATGTGCAAGATAAAATAAAACCTCACAATCATATAAAAACAGAGAATAGTGGTTCCACAACATTCTGCAATATTGGAAATTAACTCAGCATCTGTAATTTTGGGCCTGTTTTTGATCAACAGATCAAGAAATGGCCAAATTTAAGTGAAACATGCTATTTCCCCCCACCAGACAACCATTAAGCCTTCTCTGAGAGTTGCTGGGCCATTAATAAGAGGTGCAGCATAGCACAAAGCAGTCTTTGTGAGGCTGCATTTTGACCCAGTCCGGTCTGAGCAGCCCTCCATTCAGCTTTTAAGCAGTAGAAGCAGGGGCTAGGCCAAAAATCACAGTCTGGAATCTCCACAACGGCTCCTGGGTTTACTGCACGAGTTTAAGAGGCATTTACAAAGGTCTCCATGTTCTGGAAGTGCACTGGTCTGCAGGAATCCTTCTGAGTCTGAGCACTGTGGACTGAAAAGAGCAACAGGAGACCCAAGCGTAACAACATTTAGAGCAAACCACATGCTTGTTTACACATACATAACACACTGAAAAGTTGACTTGGAAAACAACTAATTATAATTAATAAAATTAATGACAGAAATATTGAGAAAGCTTCTGTCTGAAGGTAATACAATTGTGTTGTTGTTGTTGTTGTTTGTTTTGTAGAGAAACCTTGCAAAAATGATGCTTAGATCCAGTTTGTAAGACCATTCTTCTTTTGATGTAACAAATATAACATACTGTATATAACATACCGTATCATTGCCTATATTGTATACTGTACATAACATACTGAAGCATATTGTAAACAAGCCCCCCCACTTGTTTACTATGCAGTGAACAAAACAAAAAATAGGCTTGCTATGCAAAACAGACAATAAGGTCATAAAATGCCTTTTTAAATCGTGTATAATACTTAATATTAATATACTTTCGGTTGTTGTCTGTGTGACCAAGGACTCCAAGAGGCACTAAACGACACTCTTGAACGTGAACTAACTTGACTGAATTATCTCGTTTATTTACAAGAATCTGCGGACCTTCTGAACAACCCGTTTGTCCAGTTCATCATTAATTCACAACAAGAGGAGAAAAGGGACAGAATAATATGAATGTGTCAAATTGACTGAGCATACACAATTAAAATCACGTAAGTCCGTTATTCATAAACTCATCATTTATTCATGAGCTCATTTTTATTTATTTATTTATTTGATTAAAGTCATGTTGACAAAATATAGGAAAATACAATTAGACTGCCATATCATTTGTGGAAAACGGCAGATATACATAAGCTAATTTATTAATAAAGGATAACAGGACATTTTCTTTTCGGCGTTGTGTGTGTGTGTGTGCACCATTCGAACCAGCATAATGTGCGCTGAGCGAATCATTCAATTGAACCGATTCAAAAGATTCGAATCACTGGAATGAATCAAAATCCCCACCACTAGTTACAATAAGCACAGGTTGAAAGGCAACGAAATTGCCTGTGGCACCACTTCTGGGGGAGGGGACTTAGCCGTCATAAAGTAACCCTCACGCCAACGTTTGATAAAGCAGTACTTCTGTCAGTCCTCCAGCTGTCAATCAAGATAAATGGTCTCTTTAAAACCCCTATCAGACCCTTCTGGCCGCTGTCAGTATAGCGACAGGACTCCGTCTCCGGTGCAAAGCAGCAGCGCACACTTGTCGCAGCAAGAGCTCCGTGGATAAAGAGTTTGTGTGGAATAAAGGTGCGCAAAATGACAGATATTCCGCCGAGGCGCACGTAAACTGCGATGGATTGTGGTAGATAGATGCATTTCACCCTATTTAGTCTCCGTCAACTTTGAAAAATAAGGCGAATTGCCTTATCCACTCCTATAAAATAGGAGTAAAGGTGATCGCTCCGAGGAACGATTCAATTGGTTCAGCAATTGTTACAGGCGAGAATTGAGACGAAGTGAAATGGATCTGAAGGCGCTGGGCTGCGTGGTGCTCTTACCCATTCAGATCCTTTACTATATTGTCAAGGCGACCGTGTGCTGGTTCTTACCGAGCAGGCGGAGAGATCTGACCGGAGATGTGGTGCTTATCACGGGTGGCGGACGGGGCATCGGCCGTCACCTGGCAAAGGAGTTCGCCGTGCGTGGAGCTAAAAAGGTAAACAATGTATTATTACTCTTGGTTATAGCTATGGCTTGGTCATACAGCGTAATATTTCAATTCAAATCTTTCTATGAGTGTAGTGTTCGTATAGCCCCATAGTTTGAATACCAGGTGGTCTCCCTCTGTCTTTCTCTTTCTGATTGCTAGCTATAAGTGATACATCAAAACTATCAGTCAGATTGCTCAAAGTTTCATAACACTATACATAGCGCTATTTGGCATATAAAACTGCTATTAATATTAAAATAATTTAGCTTTATACAATGATGCAATGTTACTATAAAGAAATCTACATTTATATTCCATGTCTATCATTTATATACCATGTCTGTCTTACTCTTACAAAAAATTACCAGTGGCCACCAAAATACAATGCAAAATATAATACTTTCGCTGTGAGAAGCTTTCAGAATCTTGCTGTAATTTAATAGAGTAAAATTAAAGTCTAAATGGTTCAAAAGTTAACTGCACCTCCTTAACCACTTTGAATTTAATTATTCTGAGTAAGAATACCAATTTGATTAAACCATTTGTACATTGTGGCTCTACTGTAATAATCATATCTAGTTACTATAGTGTGTATGTGCAAACTGTGGTTATCATGCACATTTTTGTAAGCTAATCCTCATGAACACAAATCATTAGCCTAGTAATGGATGCATTTGTTTTGTTTTGCAAAGTATCAGTCTGTATGGTCTATTCCTCTCCCTAGGGACATTACATGCCCCGTTCATAAACCCATTGTCTCAATGGTGCATAGGTCATGACCAATCAAAATGTAGAGCTGGAACCCAATGTCTGCTTCAACTTGTAATACAAACTGGGTCAACTAACAAACAGCTATTTTGAGGAAAAATATCCTTCTTTCAAACTTCGAC